TTAAGAAACGAGAAACTCCGAGGTTAACTTTAGCAAATGATTATGAGGCCCGTGGTTTTGGTTAGCCGCGGTTTCGTTCCGCTGCAATGGCTTGCCTGCGCCTGAACGTCACTGACAAGACTTATGTGTTTGGAGTTATCATGCACGTGTACCGCAACATGTTTATTGTCCAATCGTATCAGACGAAGCTCATGACTCATGACTCATGTCATTTCAACTCTACTATTTTTTTATATGCCACCGCTGCTCAACTATTATTTTTAGGCTACAGTAACTAATAACTTCATTTACCCTAAAAACAAAATTTTCATTGATTTTAGTTTAATAACTAGAGTTTTTTAGGTATTAATTTGAATTAATTGATTCTTTCTGCCGGTTAGATATATATATTTAGTTAATAAGAATTTTTTACCAAATAATATATTAGGTATACAGGAATTTTTGTCCCCAACCCAGGAAAGCAAACAGATAACTGTACATGTTTTTATATGTTCACAAGCATCTTCATCGTTGAAATTAATTTTACAAAATAGACTTTTGCGGTGTGTACAATGTAATTTAAATTATTGGGCGTCCGGTTGAATCAAAATATTTTTAATGCAAAAGAATTTTTTTAGAATGTATGGCTACTTGAATATATAATTGTCTCCACATCCCACCAGATGACAAAAACCATTTAGCGGTCTAAAATAGATGCTTGTACGAAATAATTAAAATATACTAAACACGGCATAATTATATATTGTATACCGAATATAATAATTCAACGTGTTTTGACCAAAACCTAATTTACATGCATGAATATAAAAGGAAATAATATAAAACATTTTAACTCCCCGTAATTTACCACTCATGGGCAGTCCAATTGGAAGGGCAAACCAAGATGGCTTAATTTGTCTAACCATCAATCTNTTGTTTAGTTATTTGGAGTAGTATTTTTGAAATATTATTGTTAGGTAGAGTTGGGTGGTTATTACGAGGTAGGATTTGAAAATTAAAAATAGTTAAATAATTTAGGATATGATTTTGAGAATAGAGAAACAAATATGCACTTTGATTTGGAATACCAATAGAATAGGGAAACAAATGCACTTGAATATTATGATAAAATATAAATAGGTTAAGTCAAATAATTAATTATGTAAGTTTCCAGCTTGGCTGAGAATAAGGGTTCGCAATCAACTTGTAGTTTATTAATTAAAATTAAGATAGAGAATAAAATTTGACTCTCTATATGTGGACAGTCAAACTCACTTAGAGGTGGAAAAATAACCCGCCCGGCCTGCGGTGGGTTACTTCTTTTGGCGGGTTGGTCCTAACTCGCCCGCCAACAAAGGCAGGCCGAGTTAGGCCCACCATTTTTGGGGTAATGGCTGGAACAAACCCGGCCTGCCAACCCTAACCCGCCGGGTTAGGCTACGGGTTGGGCTGGGTTAACTAGGGCTGTTCAAATCCGGATATCCGATCCGAATAGGACTTTTCCTAATCCGATCCGAATTTTCGGATCAGGCTATATATTGATCCGAATCCAATCCGAATTATGTGGATATCCGGTTTTACGGATATCCGATTATTCGGATCGGATAATCGGATATCCGAAATTTATCCGAATTTTAAGATTTTCTTATTAAAATCAAATAATTCAATCCTTAAGGCTAATAATGCTTCAAAGCCATATTGCAAGGACATATGCAATCCGTCACCAGTTAGAATGTGTCACATTTCATAGGAACAACATCAAAGTGAACAATAATAATAATCTAAGATGCAAGCAGTTTCAATGAACTACAAACATAAGCAGCACTGGAGCACAGAGGAAACCCAAAGAGCAGAAATGCTCCTGTGGCATTTACATCAAATTAGGGAAACACCTTAGCTTAAATCAGACCAAGCCTCTACACTCTATTTGCCATCACGGTAAGTAAACGCTTGGATGAGTACAAACCCAATCGGCACAATTTGAATCAAACCCAGCCTCCATCAACCTTGTAATAGGTTCAAAACGCAAATCAATAATTCAATACTAATGAACAAGAGAAGGTTTTTAACCGGGACAAAGAGAGAAGGCACCATATTACGGTGCCATTAACATCAAACTCAAATCAACATCAAAACAAAAACACCCATCAAATTGTACCATTAACAAACTATCACCAACAATAATAAAGAAATAAGCACCACGAAATCGCACCAGGCTATTACGGTGTGGCGGCAGTCGCACTAGGCTGTGACAACAATCGATTTGGGGCTTCAATCGTCAGAGAGACTGAGATCTGAGAGTGTTTGAGCGAGAGAGAGTGAGACACCGAGAGAGTTGAGAGCGTTCGAGCGAGAGAGAGTGAGACACCGAGAGAGCGGCTAATTGACTGTGTGTCTGTCTGTGCGTGTTCGAGCGAGAGAGTCAGAGAGTTGAGCGAGAGAGACAAAGTGAGATTGAGATGAGAGCGAAAGGCTGTGCGTGTTTGAGCGAGAGAGACAGTGAGAGACTGAGACGATAGACAAGATCTGGTCTAAGAGAGTGAAAGGTTGTGCTTGTTTGAGCAAGAGAGACAGTGAGAGACTGAGACGACAGACGAGACCTGGTCTAAGAGAGTGAGACTGTGACTCTGTGAGAGGCTGTGCGACTGTGGGTGAGTCGTGACTGCGTGTTTGTGTTCGAGCGAGAGCCGAGAGAGACAGAGAGTGAGAGAGATAGAGAGTTGACTTAATTGTGTTAGAGTTACTGAGCTAGACTGTTAGTGTTAGGGTTAATTTAATTTTTAAAACTCAAAACGACGTAGTTTTGTAAAATTCGGATCGGATACGGATATCTGATTTTTTAATAATCCTGATCCGGTATCCAATCCGAATATTCGGATTTTGCTAAATTCTGATTCGTATCTGATCCGAATTTTTGGATATTCGATTTTTCCGGAGCGGATTAGGATCGGATATCAGATTTTTTTGCACAGCCCTAGGGTTAACCCTATTTTTTTTTTTTGGTTTTATTTAGTTAACTTTTCAAATAAATAATTAACTATTTATAAATGAATAAATGTAATTGTTTTTAGTTAACTTTTCAAATATCAATAATTCAATTAAATTAATTTTTTTTATTAACATTTCAAATATTAATTCAATTTTAATACAATAAAATTGTAATATAAGAAAAATTAGATTTATTCATTCAATTGATGAAACTTTAGCATAAGAATGAATTATATTTTATACAAGACATGGAAATTTAAGAATAAGACTTCAGTATTTAATTTTTTATATTTTACGTACCATAAAAAATAATAATAACAATGTGTCAAATATTACGAAGTTTTATACATTTTAATATTTATGATTTAGAAGTATAGTTCAATATTATTGTGTAAAATTATTTGTAAGAGTTTAATAATAATAGTTTAATTAAAAAAATTAAAAAAATGGGAGAAACTTGAAAAAAATAATTATTTTTTTATTTTTTTATTTTTTGGGGGCCAACCAGGGTTGGCTATTGTAAACAAATAGCAACCCGCCGGGTTGGCGGGTTGCCATATAGCAACCCGGCCCGCCCGGGGGTTGCATGCGGGTTGAACCCTCTCTAATGCGGGTCGGGTTAGGGTTGACCCGCCTAACCCGACCCATTTGTTCCACTTCTAAAGTCACTCTTTAATTTATATTTAAAGGATAAAGAGTCTGTTGGATTCTTGTTTTTATAAATTGACTTTTTATAGTAAAGAGTTTGGGTCATATTAAGAGTCATTTAGATATGCTCTTAAGTCTCTTTCTTGGAAAAAAATATTCTCTCTCATAAAATTTAAAGAGTCAAATTTGGATAAAAAATTTGTTTTGTATATTTAAAAATTAATGAAAATGTTTTTTTATTTATATGAAATATATTCTTTAAAATAAAGAAAATAATTGGAGATGTTCTTTAAAATAAAGATACTCTTAAAATAAAGAGAACAATTAGAAATACTCTAACCTCGTATATATCCTAACTAGTTTTATTTTATTTTTATTTTTTTGACATCATAAGTGTTAGCAATTATGTAAAAGTATAGCTTAGCGCTACTCAGGCAGTCTTAATTAGACTGAGCTTCAATTTATTTTAAATTTTTTTAAATCACGAAGACAATATAACAAAACTCTTGGGGCATGTTTGGTTGAAGGTAATCCCCAATTGCTGAGGTAATATCATCTTTTATTATTTGATTATCACGTTTGATTGTTAAAGTAATATAAGATTCTGGTAATCTTCCGTAACCAATAGTTGTTACTATTGGTAATATTGGAAATAATCTGATTATCTCAATTTTTTTAGGTATTTTAAAATTATTTAGTAATCTTATTTTTGTTACAATATTATCCCTTATTAATAAATTTTTTGGATAATAATGCCCTTATTTTGAAATTATTTTACATTAATCTGTCATTACAATTTTACCCATATTTAATTAAGTTTTTGGACAATAATGCCCTTATATTTAAAACAAATTGCAGGCCACCCAGGAGCATCGCCGCCCACTAGCCACCATCAGGAGAATTCGCCAGAAATGACCTTTGTATGTCGATATGGACATTTTCGACCATATTGATGGCCGGAAGTGGCAAGATGGCTATAGATCTAATTGGAAGCAACCAGAACTATTATGGTCATTTCCAGCCAGATCAAAAGATCTTGGCCATCAACAACTAGAACTCTAGCCGTTAATGACGATCAATTTTGGCCGCAGATCTGACCATTTCCAAACAGATCCATGATGGATCTAGCCGAAAATGGCTATATTGACGCATGGCCGGCTAGATCTGGTCGGTCGTGAGCTGTTATGGCCACTTTCAATGTCGTTGACGGTGGTGGCAAGTGGTCGATAGTAGCTTAGGGCGGGTGGGTGTTTTAGTTAAGTCTTAAACTTTTTTGTTGCTGGGGTGTTTTAACAATATTTCAAACATAGGGGGCTAAAAGAATTATTTAAAAAATAATAATAAAACTAAGATTATATTAATATTTAAAAAGAAGAAGAATTTAGTAGATTAATATAATCACCAATTTATTCTAACCAAACAAACACATTTTCCTAAATTTATATAACATTCTCATAATACAACATTCCTTAAAGTAAACACACCCTTAATCTTTAGCAAGAAATCCTTTTGCGATCCTTCCATTGCCACCACTGGGGAAAAATCCGCCGGGCTTGTATTCACTGCCAGTTCCATATACTATCCTTAATATCTCCTGTGGAGTTCGTTCATAAGATACAGAATTTGCGTTCGCCGATAAGATGTTACTTTCTGTCTTGTTCTCTGCTCCAAGTTGTAATGGCACTATTAGCCCTTCATCTTTGATGCCACACATGGCCAGCCGGTTCCTAAGCTGGGAGATATGGTTGCTGAACTCCGCCACTGTTATGTTATAAGGTAACACCGTCTCATTTGCTTTCTCGTATAACAATGCTCGTATTACTGCATCTTGTCCAGACTCCACTCCCAAGAGTCCCGCAACCAACTACAAAATTGTACATATAGATCAAGTATATGCGTTAATTAAGATATATGTAAATAATTTCTCGAAAGAGAGAGAATCTTCTGATCTATTTATTACTTTTCGAGAATTGTAGTTGACGAGGTTTGGTATAGTGCCAACATAACCTACAAGTCCCACATAAGGGATAAGGTAGCATGCTAAGAGATAGTTGACAGTGTTCATGTAAGGATCGAATGGAGGTGCCAATTTGTAGCCAACTGCTTCGTCAAATATATTAGCAAAATTCTTAGTGCTGAGATTCAATAGAGGCCTTGGGAACCCACCAATTGTTGTTATAATAGCCCTAAAAGTGAAAAATAATAAACCATTAATTTATGAATAAAAAAACTATATATTAATTTTTAGTAACACTTTATATAAGTAAAATTATCATTAAGAGCCGACCTGAGATGACCAACTTCCTGATAACCAAATTCTTCCATGATCCGATTTGTAAGGGCGTCAAGATTGGCTTTTTTAGCGCCAACTGGAAGAGGACCGCCGGCTGCCAAACTTGGATCTATTGTGTCAAGCCCCTTACCAAGTGCACCGTTCAAGAAAAACTCGGCTTCTAGGAACTCCAAGTTGAGAGCTACGTGAATACGTTCCTCATCATTAGCTATAATTGGTCCGCAGGAAGCACACATGACCATCCGGATATTCAATATTGTAATGAAAAAGGCACAAAGCAAATATGAAGTAGCCATTTGTGTTTTGAAGACATATAACCAACCAACAGATGAAGTACTAATTTTACATGCATAAGAGCAACAATTAGTAGCTTTTATAAACAATCAGCACACAGAAAAATCCAGGGCACACGTGTTTTCTTGATAGACACATGTTTCGGTAGATACTTTTATAATACGGAGTATATGCTTTTCAAGCTTTAAATATTGATTGACCAAGAAAGACATTATTGTCACGCAACACACGAATGAATAGAAGATAATAGTTAACTAACGTAACAAATTGGAAACTAATTTTGGATTATTATCATATTTCTATGTGTAAGTGTCACTCTTATTTGAATCAGTAATATATAACACGTATCCTAAAGTATATTAAAATAATGTTAGACATTCTAAATGGTAATCTAAAATTGGCATGTTAACTGACATGATAATGCCATTTATAAGATACGTATTAATTAGTGATGTCAAATTTGAAATGTTCAACATTACATGTCTATAATTATGAAGATGTGACGATGACTCAAGAATGACTTATTTTGTTTTTACACGTAATATGAGCAAAATGAGTTAAAACATTAGATGCTCATATTTTACAAACATATATGAAGACGTTGACAGGGGAACGAGCCCATTTCCAAATTTTGAGTTGGCTAGCAGCCTATATATATAGGTAGAGCTGTAAATGGAGTTTCAAATACTGCCTTAATAATTGGCTTTTTCCCATCTGGATCTAGTTTGGAGAGTCGGATAGGGGAGAAGCTCAAGGTATACCGTATACGTAACGGACCAAAGGACTGGATGTTCATCATATTACCGTGATTGGAAAATGACATGTTTTCAAATATCTCAAAGAAATTTCGAATTCAACTTCAGCATGTACACGTTATATATATCAATACACCGACACTATTCATCAACATTATTATTCAAAATTATTGATGCGTGATTTTGACACCAATCAAACGTATGTGTGAAATGTTAAGCGGGTCCAGAAGATACACGTGAATGAAAAGAATGAGTAAAAACAGTAAGGAACAACGTTTAAAGTGGTTTGGATGCTAAGGAAGCAAATCCTACGTCCATTGGTTTTTATATTAATGATAGTGGTCAGGTCGCGTTCAGCGGACTGACTTACAAATGATTGTACAAGAGAGGGAATGCTATATATTCTTGAGAGAAAATAGCTAATAAAGAGTTGAATGAGCGAATCCCACAAACGGGAGAAGAGCCCTCAATTTATAGTGGGATGGATTAAGGTAATCATTACTAAATCTGTGAGTTGGTGGGATTATCTGTGCAAATCCTTCTTTATGTCCCATTGCCTACCTTCCAGAGTGATTTACGCGATTTGGTGCAGGGATTGGACACGTTGAATCGTTATAGCTCCTGGCTGGTCTGACGTGCACTCACTTCACTGACAAGAGTATGCTGCTCACGTCACCACGCGACGTGGCTGTTTCTGACTGGCCGCGGGCCTACCTAAGCTTTGACTTTTTATGCTGACCGAGTCTTGCATCTGCCTTATATTTTCAAGCATAACAGAAGTCCCCTAGTTTTTAAGGTTTGAGAATCGAACCTTGGAAACTATAGATGCCTTGATTTGATGTGTTTGAAGAGATGTTGGTCGATCCGACCTGATTGCAAAGGAGTTCGAGAGGACATTCTCATAAGCGACCTAGGAGGATCCGTGACCTCAGGATCAATGACCTGGTCACGAGTACCCAGTGCTAGTGATGGTCCCGACCTGAGGGAATTCTTGACCTGTTCTCACTTAGCAACTTTTTAGGACAAATGATCACGCTGCTTCGCAGTCGGTGTCACATTGCTTCGCTATTGACGTGAGACGGGGTCAAACAATCACGTCACGTCGCGATTGATGAAAAGTCCGAAGAGTCACATCACCCCACGACTAGTGAAAGGTTCGGAGAGTCACATCGCTTTGCAACTGATGGGGAAGAGTGTTTTTGGCAACGATCTCTTTAGATGTTATCCGTTGCACCTTTTGCAGCGGATGCATTAAATGAAAGGCCCTTTGCTCTGACAGACGTGTCTTATGCGCAATAAGTGCCAGCCATGCACATTAAAAGCTATGCTGAAACGACATTCCCTAGCAGAGCATTAAATGCGGGTGTGGGCGCATTAAATGTGGAGGAGGGAAAACATGTTGTCGTTTGAGCGTTTCAATGGAAGGGGATGACGATCTGGTTTCTTGAGGCATGACGGCCACTCTTCCTCGTTGATTCATGACACGTGGTCGCGATCAACGGTCAGATACGTTTTCTGCCTAAACGTTATTTGATTTCAGGATACCAAAGCGCCATTTCCTTCACTATAAAATCCCAAGCTCTCTTCATGCAAAGTCACAGTATTTTCATTCTCAGAGAGCAAGAAACTTTCGCCAGTCTTGATTTTTTGCTTTTCAGAGTGGTGTTCGCTCGATATTCAGAACAGGAGCTAATCTTTCTCATTCTTAGAGGTAAAGATGATTCCCTTCTTTTATCTTCAATGTTTTTTGCTTTCGATAGTCACCATGCGATGACTGTCCGTTGGTAGCTCATCGGAGATGAAATACCCGTTGGGCTGGAGCCATTGATGGTGGCTCTACAAGTATTCTGTTAAGGTTTTTTCTTCTGGGTTTAGGGAGGAAAAACTTTCCTCCACGTCATCGTACAAAAATGTACGAAGATTGAATGGTACAATTTTGTCGCTTTTGCAGATTGCAAAATGGACCCCCCAATGACCAGAGCCGAGGAAGGAGCCAGCTCTCCTGTAAAGGATGCCCTTGTGGGCCCCCCTCGAGAAATTTACTCGACGCTTACCGCCGACGAGCTGCAAAGGTTGGTTAACCAGTTCGCTGTCAGCATAGAGATTTTCTGTGATAGGGTGCATACTGCCCGGGATCCGCCACGTAGGATGGCTGCGATCTCGGAAGATATCTTCAAGGGTGGGGGGTCGATCCCTTTCCACCCTTTCACTAGGTCGATCCTTGATCACTTCGGGATCGCACTAGTGTAGCTCACCCCGAACGCTTACATGATCGCCATCGCCATCGCCATCGCCATGTACATCGCGTGTCAGGAGAATTGACTGGCGAGCTAACAACGGTTGAGCTCGGTTGCTCCTACATCTTGAAAAAGAGCAAGGACAAGGATTCTAGGTACTTGTCCAGGCAAAACACAATACAAGCGGGGATACATAGCTATCCGAGTAATGCGAGACCATACGACACAAAGTTTTTCTTCTTTCATTATGGTGGCATCCACTGCTTTCAGGATCCGAGTAGGTTCTCGTTCCTTCTGAACTCTCGATTTTTGTTATTCGCTAATGAGCTATTTGTTTTTTCTTGACAGTTAATAGAACGACCAATTTGAACCTGGTCGCGGACCTGGACAGAATCACAACATTCGGTTTTTTGTCGCAAAAGCCGAGATGCGAGGTTGCTTGTGACAACCGAGAACTTACGGAGGTACGACTTCTTCAACGCGGGCGCAACCTTAGAGACCCCACCGAGTAAGTTTCTTGACTTCTCCTTTCAAATTCTTTTAGCGAACTGTTTTACTAACGGTGTTCGCATGCAGCGACGATGCCTTCACGGGTGTCCAAGTCGCCACGATCAAGATAATTCTCTTTCCCTCAGAGGCATACCATCGGGCCAATTGGAGCTGCTCCCAACGGTCCCTCCGTCGGAAGGATACAGGCGGGTGCTCCGGCCCAACCTGCAGAAGTTCCCCCATCTTCAGCTGCTCGCCCGAAGCAGAAAACTACGACCCAAAGGCCTAAAAAGAGGCGGCAAATTCGGACTGAGGAATCAGAGTCCGAAGAGGAAAGCTTGGGCATTCAGCCCGAAAGGTCGCGGCCTTACCAAGCGTTTAGCTCGGGAGGGCCACTTAGAGGTGCAACCGACATTTCCATCGGTCAGTCGACGTGACTAGCGACTGCAGTCCCTAGGAGGAGGTTTGGCAAAGAGCTCGCAGGGCAAGCTTTACCTGCCGAGGGTGCAAGCACACCTGTGCTAGACTCGATGGCCCAACTGCTGGACCATTTGCAGTTGGTGGTTTTAACACTATTGGAATGTGGTCTTGCTGAGAAGTTCAAACAGTTTATGGCCTCCAATTCCATTGACCTGTTGTCCACATCATTCCAACTCCTGAGCCAGGTAAACGAACTACCCTCGATGAGGAACCTTGCTCGTTTTTCAAAAGGGAGTAACTTTTTGCTCTTGTCATGCAGGCCTTGCTTTCCCTGCATATGTCCCAGCAAAAGGCTCAGCTGGGGTCTGCTGAGAAATTGGTCCAGCTGCGGGAGGAGAATACGCGGCTTATGCAGGAGTTGGAGGCCGCACGAGCAGACAGGGACTCGTCCATTGCTCAGGCAGACCAACACATGTTTGAAAGGGACGCTGCCCGCCGCACAGTGGACTTTCAGAAGATCGAGCTGGACAAACGCGGCGAGGAGGTCAAGGAACTCCAGCGGACCATGGCCAGACTCTCCAGGGAGGCTGGTGAGAAGGATCAAGTGCTGCAAAATACCTTAGAACGAGCCTTGCTAGCTGAGCAGGAAAGGGCCAATCTGTGGGAGGCTACTAAGAGGTAGCGATCAGAGTTTGAGGCCGAGCTCCATTATACTCTGGGTCGCATCACTTCGTTGACTGCAAAAATGCAGCAGCAGGAAACGGATATCGAGAGCAGGGCTGCAGATTGGACGATTAGGTCCATCTTTGCTCTTCAGGCGAAGAACCCTGAGATGGATCTGTCCGACCTCCCCAGTGAGTACAAGGACGAACTGGCTACTCTGGTGTAGGCCGAGGCTGAGGAAATGGCTTAGGGACCTAATCTGGAAGAACATCCAGAGTACGTCCCAGAGGAGATTGCTCTTCGACAGGAGGTTGGCGACCAGTCTAGAGACGTCGAGATTGCCCCTCCGGGACCTGGGGGCGAGGATCAGTGATCCGCCTCTGTAGCTTTCATCTTACTTGATTATGTGCTCTTTTTTTAATACAAATAAATAAAGATCGCTTTTGATAATCTTTTGGGTACTTGGTTCTCTAGCACCGAGAAGAACTTCCTTTAATATAAGGTC